CCTGCTGGTCTCAGCCTCCTGGCGGTGTTCAGATTGTCACCTAATGCCGAGACCGACTCAAAACCTTCCGCGATCGAAGTGTTGCACCGCTGCTCTAGCAAAGCATGAACAGTTCAGAAACAATATGAAATGGGAAAAAAGTTATTTATTAACTGATTAAGTCGTGTTTTAGATTGTTCTTGAAAAACTAATCACTCACGGCTGATTAGTGGGTGCACTCACAGCTGCACAGTGAACCCGTTGATTTTTTTACAGCCCCTCCTCTCTCTTGCAGGTACTGCATACCCCCACTAAATCTTTTAGGGGTATGCAGTACCCTGCCGTACCCCCTTACTTTCACCCTGCACACACATTGGTGTGTGTATTAACTAGCATTGAAGCTAAAATGGGAAAACAGCGGATCGTTGCACCAATGTTATTAGGTCTACATTAATCTGCATCACACGTCAAGTGACTGCGCAGATGATTTATTTACCAAGCAAATAATCAGTGTTGTCGATGAGGGGAGGCAATGAAACTCTTAAACATATATATTTTCTTCCAGATGCAAAATGTAAAATTGAGTTGGTCGGTCACAGGCCGAAGGAGGATATTCACATAATTTCTGTGTGTTTTTTTTTTTATTATTAATATTTGTTGTGTGTGTGGTGTGATTGGAGAGACCAGAAAGTGTTGAGTCAGAGAAGGCCAGGTAGGGAAGCAAGTGTTGCTTTTAGGGGCCAGGTGTTTGGCTAAATATTTGTTCTCCCCTCCTAACTTTAGCAAATAAAGAGCAAAAGTTTTCAAAATCACAGGATTTGTTGTTGATGAAGAGAGGAATCAACACATTTAAAGACTTGCAGGTAAATTAATTTGTTTCCAATCTATGTGGGGGGGTCAGATTATTTCAGGCGGCTGGAATATCCATTCTCTAATCTCCTCCCCCCCATAACTTTGGAAAATAAAAAGCAACTGTTTCCAAATTCTAAAAAAAATATGTGTCATAGCATGCTAGAAATTTCCTTAATCCAGTAATCTGTTATATTTTACATTAGAACGGGATTTACCAAAAAGTCTACACTCTGATCTTTTCAGGAAGTCTTTGTTTTGGTGCCCTGCTATCAGCCAGCTTCCATCCTCTTGTATCAGAAATTAACAATTATAAATGCACACTACGTGTTGGAAACCTGTGTTTGTTGGCTGACTTTTATTTGTCAGGCTTAAGAGACAAAAGTTGAAAAAAGATCGATTCTCTTCGAGTTTAAAGTAACACAAAATAGCGTAAAAAGACACCCTCACAAGACCACGTTTATTTATTTTTTTAAAATTTTGGTAGCTGCCGATTAAACTAAAAGTTACAACATTGACATGATTATATGAGCAGTTTTATACCGAGAAATCAATCAGAAGCGCCGTGAAAATGGTCAGATCCGCCGGATCCGCCTCTTTGGCTGCAATTCGCGCTCCCGACACAGGGGGAACAGATTTTCACAGGGGGAACAGATTTTCACAGGGGGAACAGATTTTCACAGGGGGAACAGATTTTTGCACAACACCTCCGCGAGGACCGACTTTGGACACCCTTGTTCTACATAAATAAGCCATTCTCACAGCGTAATTGTGACGTCTGCGTTCATTTACCCGTGAAAAAAACATTTTATATGGGAAAAGCACTTTTACTAAAATGATCCTCATGCAGAACGGTGCATACATTAACCTTCATCCAAACGCTGGTGTTTCCTACCTATCCGGTGTAAGATTATCTGGGGAGTCCGGGAGAAATCAAGCAGACTGCGCTGATCATCCATCTCTTCCTCCGACTTGACGATGATTTCTTTAAACTCTGTGAAAGTTTCTTCAGCAGCAGTTAACTGCTCGTTGATAAACTCGTTTAAACTGGACTTAAGATATTTTTTAGAGAAACACTCAAACATTCAACAAAACAATCCACGGTCCGTCCTTTGTCGTCTTCTTCCTCCTTTTTCTCCTCTCCTTCTTTGGGATTTCATGACTGTCTGCATTCGTCCCGCTGCTTTACCGCCACCTTGTGGAACATACGATCCTCACATCTAAAGATTTCTCATGCAATGCCAGTTCTCTTCGAAAAACGTAAAATTTTTATTCAACTTTAAATAAAACAAATACAATATTAATATTCCAGTTTTCCACAAATCCAAAGTTAATATTGTCTTCTGATTGGTATCTCCTACATCCCGCCACAAGTTTCATAGTTTATTCATTTCACCAGATAATAAACTTTTCCTATAGTATCCGTATATCCACAATGCTGCTGCTTTGTTCGGAGTTACCTCTGGTTGCCGCCCATCCTGTGGCTTATTGAGAGCGAAAGTCAAGCCGTCGGTAGGTGGAACCAAAAATCAATTTTTAGCTATGATGTCATCAGAAGGAGCTTCTTCAAAAAATTCTGATATAGTGTGAATCTTCCTGTGCTGGGTGAAATTCTGTTTGTGACTAAAACTTTTTCCACAGTTCACACATGAAAATGGCTTTTCACCAGTGTGAATCATCATGTGCCGAGTTAATAGCCAACTGCCCAACTGATTCTGCCTGGCCACAAACTAAAATCCTTAACTGCAATTACATATGCAAATTTACAAGAAGGCCTTAGTCCTGTATAACAAATTAGTATGCAATAGAGATTTAACTTTTAATCATTTTTATCCAAATAAACAAATTACCATAAGAAATATAAACATAATTTGTCCTAAAGGTCTGAATGAACAAAAATTGAATTTAGGCTTCTACAAGATTAAACTATAGTACTGAAAAAAATCCCAGTTAAACTTTCCAGTTTCCATAAACAGCTACTGCTATGCTGGAATTTAATACATAAACATAACTTTTCCCCACACAAATACTATATTTGGAATAACAAAGACATCTGCTGATGAATAATAACATGAATAATTTTTTCTTTAAAAAATGGTTTGACAGAGGCATTGTTTGTGTACATCAACTTTTCAACAAAGAAGGTAATACTTAGTCTTATGATGAATTTCTGACCACGTGTATTTTTCTGTACTGCCTAAAGAATTTGCAATTGTACTTGATGCCGTTACTTCAGTGGTGAAAATGTTATCGTCATCCTCTGTTCGACACCATACTGATTACTTAACAATTATTCATTGGTAACTCTGACCCATTTTTAAGTAGAAAATCTAAGAAATGTTTTAGAGAACTAATAATAAGACATCATATAAGCAAACCAGCTTCTACCTTTTTTGGGACAATATATTTAATGACAGTTGTTGGAAGGATGTTTGGTTATTGCTGAAAAAATACATAATAACTAATAAGATTCAAGAAGTGTTTCTAAAGATTCTACATAGATGTTATCCTAGTCAAAGATTTAAATATCACTCTAATGCAAATCCTCTATGTTCATTTTGTCACAATTCTGAGGAAACCATCACTCATCTTTTCTGGGACTGCTCTTGTATTCAAATATTTTGGAAAGATATTTTTTTACTCTTAAAAAGAAAATTGGAAATAGACGTACCGTTTAACTTTAAAACTATATTATGTGTCTTTTTCTGTTTAAATTCTCCAAAAAAATTAAGTATTTGTTATAAATTTAATATTAATTTTACAAAAATTTAATATCCACATATGCAAATTTCTTAAGTTGAAACCCAAAATTAATGCTTTTTGTGCCCATGTTTCTTCATATTTGTATTTTCTGAAGTACTGTACCAATAGTAAAGCTTTAAAGACTACTTCAATTTGTACAGAATTTCTCATGTAATTTGCCCTAGTTGCTGTATTTAACCTTTTCCTGTTTATATTTGCTCTTTACCTTCCTTAAGCCTCGTCTTTTTTGCTACCATTTATGTAACTTGTACATATTATTGTAAATTTTAAAAAAATACTGATTTTTCTTTGTTTTTTGGTGGTTGGCAAGTAAAGAACATGGTGCATTATCGCCACCATCTGGTATGGAGTGTGGACCAGAATGTCACTCGAGGATTAAATACTATTAAATGATTGTTAAATTTATATTAAAAATTCTGATACGTTTTACTTCTCGAATTATTTCGAAATAAAATCAACTACATCTATTTTAACTTTAATTCTGTTTAATTTTAGAGACTTATTTTTTAAACTGTATGCATGATTATGTACTTGAACTCAAATATTTCTGCAAATTTCAGCAGAAGCGTTCAGCACTCGCACTACATTTTCAAAGGAAATGCAAGTGATCAAGTGACTTCGGAAAGACTTAAACAAACATATCTATTTGTTTATAGTTTAAATTAGTTTCAACTTTAAACAAAGATCTTTAATAGAAAACAGCCACAGCAGAAAATAGAAAATTATACATCTAAGACAAGCGACACACCAAATTATTGGAGACAATAATCACACATAATTTGTACAATCAAGATCAATGAAGGAAAATAAGTTTATATTGTTTATTGCATTTTCTAAGTAAGACATGTTAATTTATTTGAAACGCTTTTATATAGACTGGTTAATATAATTCTAAACAAACAGCATCAGTTTCAGTTTAGTTTAGCTTTAAGGACAAACCTATAAAAATGTTAATATAGTAAATTTCAAAGTGTAAAACAATTAATGAAAATCTACAAATAGTGCATAACAGCACATTTTGGATTAAAAATGTATTAAAGTCAACCTCATTCACTCCACTCATTCTCCCCATACAGAATAATGCAAATCAATACTTCAAATTCATCTTGTACATCTCAAAGTATCCAACAAGATCCAAATTATCACATTTAATTTTAAAAAAATTTAACCATTTCACCACTTTATAGACAAGAAAGCCCTCCAGTTTTCATCTAGATGACTTTTATAATAATCCTCAACATAGGACATATATGGAAAATAGTTCTACGGCTTTTCACCAGTGTGAATCATCATGTGCGGAGTTAAATGCCGTTTCTGAGTAAAACTCTTTCCGCAGCTCCCACATGAAAATGGCTTTTCACCAGTGTGAATCATCATGTGCTGAGTTAAATGTGGTTGTTGATTGAAACTTTTTCCACATCTCCCACATGAAAACGGCTTTTCACCAGTGTGAATCATCATGTGCTGAGTTAAAAGCCTTTTTTGAGAAAAACTTTTTCCACAGCTCCCACATGAAAACGGCTTTTCACCAGTGTGAATCATCATGTGCTGAGTTAACTCCTGTTTTCGACTAAAATTTATTCCACAGCTTCCAC